TTGACTGGAGTAGTTTGTTACACAAAGTTTAGAAAACACTGATTGCCAGTGTTTTGAAACAGTCTCCAGGGAAGATGCTTTTGAGTTAGCTTATCTGTGGAAACTTTGTACTTTGAGCACTATCCCTTACCTGCCTCATTTAATCCTCCACTCAGCAGTGACTGTGGTGCAGTAATTAATATTATTCTCGTCTTACATATGAAGGAATTAGAATCTGAGGAGGTTAAGATGATTGCCTAAGCTTAAGTAGGCAGAAAGTGATAGAGTCAGAATTAGAACCTGGGTTTCTGGGTTCTGTGGATTAGAGAAGTCAGGGAAATGTTTCATAAAAGGATTAGATCTGAGCTGGGCTTTGAAGAATGAGTGAGATTTAGATTATTCAGGAGGGAGAGGGACATTTCAATTAAAAGGAAGGGAAAGAGCACAAGCATAGTGATGTAAGATGGGTATAGAGCAGATTTAGGCCAATTGGCATAAAATTCTCAGGTCAGGGAAAAGAGGGAAAGAAGTGTGAATTATCAGGGTGACTTTGGATCCTGTATATAAATATTTCTGTAGGCTTCCTAGACTTAAGTGTTGGGTACCATAGAGCTAGGTGGTTAGCTAATCCAGTTAGAAATTTGTGGGCAAAACTATCAGTCTCTTAGCCATTTGGAAGACCTCATGGTTTTCTAAGAGTGGTTAGTGTAATGATTTCCCCTTGTTGCCAGCTTGGGATTCTTTTGTAGAAACTGCTAGATTCTGACACAAAAAGTCAGTGAACGGTGCCATGGAAGGTGGGTGACGGGAAGGTCGAGACTGGTTTAATTCAGGCATTAGCAAATTGTTGTTCCTCTTCCCTGATTCTCAGTGTCCTTGTCATTAAACTTGGAGTGACAGCACCTGCCCTACTTTCTTGGTGGGATGGTGTCTGTAGAACAATGTTGCCAACTATAACTCAACAGATTTCAGTATGTAGGGGCTGGAACTGCAGCAGCAGGTGGGATTGAGAGTAGGTACAAGGGAGAATTCCCTGTTTAATTTCTTTTCAAGTATCACCATGGGTGGTTTTCTAGCTATTAGAAGTAAGAATTTAGGGGAGGGGAGATAGGTTTTCCTTAGTGGGGAGGCTGTGAATTTTGCTTTCTAACTGCTTTTTTGCCACCTTTTCCTACTGGTGCTTCTTGTTCTCTGACCATGGACAATATGTCTTATGATCTAAGTCCCGTTCCAGAGATGAACATATTTTCTGAAACAGAAATGGGACATGAAGTCCTATTTTCTAGGGCAAGAAATAGTCTGGGAGATTTTTGGATGCTGAGAAAAATTTGGTGGTTGGAGACTATGAGACTGAAAACTTGAAATCAGCAGGTTCTTGGGACATAACAGGCAAATTGTTGTTGGCACTCCTATTTCCTAGCCCTCAGTTTTCTGCAGGCTGAGCTAGTCTTAGCTCAACTGTGAATTGTTAATGGTTATTGGCTATCTCTTTTCAAATTTTTGCATTTTGATAGAAGGAGCTGAAAAACAGAAAAGCTTTTCAACACTAAGCCATGAATAGTGGAATTTCAGTATTAAGATTGGGAAAAAGAGAATCATTCTTTTTTGCCACCTACCCACATGAAAAGTCTACTCTTTGAAAGAATAAACCATCAGTTGACTTGGCAAAGTGGGATGAGACTAATTTTTCTGCAGCCTCCAGATGACTTACGCAATTAGCTTTGGTTGAAAAAAATGCACTCAACTTAATGTGACCCTTGGAAGGAAATTGTAGCATTTGTGATTCTGCAATAAGGTCATATATTTAAGTAAAACGTTACAATTTGTTATGTACTGTGATTCCTCTGTATCATCTCATTTAATTGTCACCTTGACCTTGTGAAATACATTGATTTAATTTCTACTTAGATTAGGAAAGCAAGCTCAGAGATGGTGATTTGCTTAAAATCGTACCACCGAAATAGGTAAAGCTGTGTCTAAAATGAAGACTCTTCTAACTCTGGGTCCTTTTCTCCTTGGTCATTGCCCCTTTTCTCTATGCAACTGAACTCCTTTCTGAGCTCTGCATTAGTCAATTGATGATGCTTTTGCTTAGAAGCACCAGGGATAGATTTAAAAAAAATTGCTTAAGCTGGAAAGAGCCTGTATGGCTTGTGACAGGTGTTGCGTGGGATGGTTGGAAAATAACTTAAAGATTGTCTCCTTTCCCTGTGTGTTTTGTTAATGCTTATAATACTTCTATGACTTAGAGTCCTTCTGGAGCCTCTGGTATATTTCAGACCGATTTTAAGTTGTTAGGAAAGAGGATTTTCTCTCCAGAGCTCAATTCTTATAAAGCTTCTTATTTTTCTTTGTACCTGGAAATTTATTTCTCAGCCAGAGCTCATGATGGCATCAGATTTAAATTCCTACTAAAATGACTGTTCTTTGCTGATCTGTTGTTTTTTTCCTTCTGTGTAGTCCCTCCTGCCTTCCTGTTTTCCCGGTTAATTCCAGCCGTAGTTATATGGAAGGTTCTGGGAGTCAAAGCAATGAGTTTTAGGGTAGGGAAAGGATAGGAAACTCCTGTTCCTTCTAACTCAGTGTTCTCTGAGAATCTTGGGAGTTTCCTACTGCCTTAGCCACTTCCCATGGCCCTGTGCTCTCCCCCAGATCCTTTAGGAACTGAGGTTTGGGCAGCAGTTTTGAAGGAAGAAAGACTCCTGAGAGGTTCTCCAGTGGTCTGGTTTGGGTTTTCCTATAGTTAGAGATTAGAAACTGGCCCACAAAGATAAGCCTTTTGTTGTTTTTAATGATGCACCTTCTTTCCCCTTCCTGACAGTTTTTATTTTTAGGTTTCCCCTGTATTCCATTCATTCTTTCATGAATTATTCCGTAGGCCCTGGTGCTGTGGTGCTGAGCATAAGGGACATTGCCCTGTCTTCACAAAACTTACAGTTTAGTGGGGGAGACGGGCAATTAAACAAGCAATGTCATAAAGTGTGATTTATTGTTATATCAACATGATTAAAGGAGGATTTAAATAGAAAATGTTCTCTCATAATTTCACCATAGCAATATAGCAGCTGTTTCTACATTTTTCCACATTCTCGTCCAATGTTTGTCCATATACAAACATATTTTTGCATAATTGTGATTGTAATCTAGCTATAATTTCATCTTTTTTCCACTTATAAAACAATTTTGACATATTCCTACATAGTCATACTTGTATTTTTTCACTGCTGATGCACCATAATTTCTTCAGTTATATTCCTATTAGAGAACTGTGTTGACTTCCAGTCTTCACCATTATTAGGTAGTACAACCATAGACATTCTCAGTTTTCAGGAGAACTCCTTGATCAAAAATTATTATGATATGTATAACTTTTGATAATGTCACTATATTGCAATATCCATAAAATATTTCATAAAAGATTTTTTTTTAATTTGTAGTTCATCAACCATTCTTATTTTTCTAGCACATGGTATTATCTCTCTCTTTTTTTTTTTTTTTTTTTGAGACAGAGTCTCACTTTCTTGCCTTTGATGGAGTGTGTGGCATCACAGCTCACAGCAACCTCAAACTCTTGGACTTTAAGCTATTCTCCGGCCTCAGCCTCCCAGGTAGCTGGGACTACAGGCGCCTGCCACAATGCCCAGCTATTTTTTGGTAGTAGTTGTCATTATTGTTTGGTAGGCCCAGGCTGGATTCAAACTATCAGCTCCAGTGTATGTGGCTGGCTCCCTAGCCACAGAGCTACATGCTCTGATCCTGTATTATCTTTTTAAGTGTTTTTTTTTTGTTTGTTTGTTTGTTTGTTTTTTACACAGAGTCTCATTATATTGCCCTTGGTAGAGTACTGTGGTGTCACAGCTCACAGTAACCTCAAACTCTTGGGCTTAAGCAATTCTCTTGCCTCAGCCTCCAAAGTAGCTGAGACTATAGGTAACCACCACAACACCTGGCTATTTTTTGGTTGTAGTTGTCATTATTGTTTGGCAGGCCCAGGCTGGGTTCAAACCCACCAGCTCTGGTGTATGTGGCTGGCACCCTATCGCTGAGCTATAGGCTCTGAGCCTATCTTTTTAAGTGTTAATACGTATAAAGCAGTATTTGATTATTTGACTGTTTCAAAATGTATTTGTATTAATACAAGTAAGGTTGTATGTTTTCTCCAATGTTTGTTTAAAAATATGTGAAACATAGTAGGGCTGAGTACATTGGATACTTTTTCTTCCATTCTTGAGATACTTGCTAAGAAGAATATGTTCCAGCTCCATCCATGGTGTACATATACCACAATTTATTAATCCATCCATGTGTCAATGAATACTTGGGCTTCTTCCATGACTTAGCAATTATGAATTGGGCTGCAGTAAACATTATGGTACAGATATCTTTGTTATAATGTGATTTTTGATCTTCTGGATATATACCTAGTAGAGGAATTGTAGGATCAAATAGCAGATCTATTTTTAGATCCCTAAGTGTTCATATGAAAGCTATAACCCAATTATAGCCCAAGAAGAAGAGAAAAGGGGAGAGGAAGGGGAGGGGAGGGGAGAGGATGGGTGGAGGGAGGGTAATCGGTGGGACCACACCTATGGTGCATCTCACAAGGGTACATGTGAAATTTACTAAGTGTAGAATATTAATGTCGTAACACAATAACTAAGAAAATGAGGTGAAGGCTATGTTAACCAGTTTGATGAAAATATTTCAAATTTTATATAAAACCAGCACATTGTACCCCATGATTGCATTAAGATACACAGCTATGATTTAATAAAGAAAGGAAAAAAATATATGAAACACCACTTCTTATCTTTTGGCAGTTTACTTGATTTATTTACTCAATAGTTTGATTTTGAACAGGATATGTATTACCAGTGATGAAGAATGGATGGCAGTGGCTGTAAGGCCTTCTTAGGTATTGTTCTAACTTGGCAAAAAGTACTTGTGATTGTGGAGTCAAGAATCAGATTTTTTGGGTATCTGTGCTAACCGCCCGGCGTTGACCGTTTGAAGCGCCGCTTATGGCCCCAGTATCTCGGCCCCGTTATTCCGACGACACCCTGGACTCCCGAAAACCACCAGGTAGCTCTTCGGGGAGCCCAACATCCACTCAGTCCAGACGCTCCCCCTGGTATGGCCGTTCACGCTCTCACTCCCGCAGCCGTGAGGGCCTCAGGCCTCCGTGGAGTGAGTCGAGCGTCGGTGCTTCCTACCCCCTCAGCCGCTCAGAGTCTCGAGAGCCGCCCCCAGGGGTCCGCAACTATACCTCCTCTTCCCTCTACTATGGCGAATACCGCTACCATCACCACCACAGTCCGGGCAACCGGCAGTGGGCGGAAGACTACGAGAAGGAGAAGGAAGAGAGCTACCGCCAGAGGCGGCTGAAGGAGAGGGAGAGGATTGGGGAATTGGGAGCGCCTGAGGTGTGGGGGTTGTCTCCAAAGTTTCCTGAGCCAGATTCTGACGAACATACCCCAGTTGAAGATGAAGTGGTAAAAAATGAGAAAAGCAGTTCCGATTCTAGCGCTGAAGAAAAAAAGAAAAAGAAGATCAGTCGTTCGAAAAAGAAGAAAAGAAAGAGTAAGTCATCTAAGAGAAAGCATAAGAAGTATTCTGAAAGTAGTGACAGTGATTCAGACTCTGACATGAATTCTAGCTCTGAAGATGATAAAAAGAGAGTTAAAAAAGCCAAGAAGAAAGAGAAGAAAAAGAAACACAAAGCAAAAAAGCCCAAGAAAAAGAAGAAGAAGACGACTAAAAAAGAATCCAGTGATTCAGAAGAGTTGCCAGAAGATACCTGGATTGAGCAATCAAAAACTGCAGATACCATGAATTTAATAGGTCCAGAAGCACCTATAATACATACCTCTCAAGATGAGAAGCCTTTGAACTATGGACATGCTCTACTCCCAGGTGAAGGTGCAGCTATGGCTGAGTATGTAAAGGCTGGAAAACGTATCCCACGGAGAGGTGAAATTGGATTGACAAGTGAAGAGATCGCTGCATTTGAATCCTCAGGTTATGTTATGAGTGGCAGCAGGCATCGCAGAATGGAGGCTGTGAGGCTGCGTAAGGAGAACCAGATCTATAGTGCTGATGAGAAGCGAGCCCTTGCGTCCTTCAACCAAGAAGAGAGACGAAAGAGAGAAAACAAGATTTTAGCCAGTTTTCGAGAGATGGTGTACAGAAAGACAAAAGGGAAAGATGACAAGTAAGGACTTGTATTTTGCATAACAGGACTTTTAACAACAAAAGTCTTATATTTACAAAAGTATCAAAAGATTTTCCAGTGCTACTGTACTTGTAATGTTAGTAATTCCCTCGGGAAAAAGCTGCCTTTTGAAATACCTTTAGCAATTTATTGTTTCTTGTTTTTAACGTAAAATGTGTGTACATGGTTTTAAAAATATTCAAACATTACAGGAGGAGAGTTAATAAGTGCTTCTTTCACCCTAGTTTCTGACTCCTCCCCAAAGAAATCTCTTTTGTGTCCTAAAAAAAAAAAAAAAAAATCAGATTTTTTAAGCTGAAAATCAGTGCTATGTGGAGGACTGACACCTGTGGGTTCTACAGTAGGCTGTGAGTTGCCTCAGGGCAAAAGCCATGTTTTTGGGGGGCACTGGGTAGTTTTGTTCTCCAAATATCACTTTCCTTTCTTTTTATATTGCCTAAAATTTCACCATTGAAATTTTTATTCTTGGATTCTTAAAGGCTTTCTAGTCTTGGAAGCCTCTAGGAAATTATTAATAGCTATAGAAACATGACTGTCTCAGATGACATATTGGCAATTATAACCACAATATGAGAGCAACACCCTGCAGGGGTGGGATGTAGAATACACACCCAATGGTGGAGAGGTGGAAATCGGGCAGGAGAGATGCTCACAAGAGTAGCAGGGAGCTATCATATTAACAATAAACTTCGTTTATCTCCAAGAATCCCAGGAACACGAGAACTGGAAAGTAATCTGAACGTGTACCTCAGCCTTGGTGTCCTTATGTATAAGTGTAGATGAGAATGCCTCACTTCTCAGGGTTATTGGGAGACTTAATTGAAATGAAAAAGGTTATGCAAGTGCTCTGTAAACCACTGTTTTGACTCCCTTCACCATATGTTAATTTTGCCTGACTTTGAGCTTTATATAAACTGGATCTCGCAGTATAAACTCTTTTGCATCTGGCTTCTTTTGTTTGACATTTAGTTCATGAGATTCATCTGTTTTCGTGTGTATAGTCTTAGGTTATTCTTTTTCCTTGCTGATTCGTATTGCATTGTATGAATGCATCACAATTTTTTTATCCATTCTGTTGATGAATACTTAAGTTGTTCCCGGTTAGGGGCTATCATGAGTAATGGTGCTGTGAACAATTCTTGTACATGTCTTTTGGTAAATATAAACTCTTATTTCTGTTGGGTACGTACCCGGGAGTGGAATTTGCTGGGTTAAAGGGCGCATGTATTTTCAGCTTTAGTAGATACTACCAAACAGTTTTGCAGAGTGACTGCCCCAGTTTACACTCCCACCAGTAGTAAATGAGAATTCCTCACCAACTTTGTGCCTTCGTCGGCTCAGGCTATGTAACAAAGACATTAGACTGGTTGGCTTACACAGGGAGGTTTATTTCCCACAGTTCTGGAGGTTGGAAGTCTGAGATCAGGGTGCCAGCACGATTGGGTTCTGGTAAGGGCCCTCTTTATGGCTTGTAAACAGCTCCTTGCTGTGCCTTCATGTGGTGGAAAGAGACAGATGTGATCTTTTCCTTCACCTGCTTATAAGGACACCAGGCCCATTATGGGGACTCCACTCTCACTACCTCATCTAAACTAATTCCCAAAGGCTCCACTCCAAATGTCATCACAATTTGGGGATTAGGCTTTTAACATATGGATTTGAGAAAGACACAAACACTGAGTGCACAGCAACTTGGTGTTGTTGATATTTTATTATTTTTTTTGTAATTAATTATTTTTTATTAAATCAGAACTTTGTACATTGATGCATTTATGGGGTTCAGGGTACTGCTTCGATATACAATGTGAAATGTTTACATTGAACCAGGTAACACATCCATCGCAATTATACTTCTTTCTTTCTTTCTTTTTTTTTTTTTTTTTTTTTT